AAGCATTCTATAACGATATTGAGGAAGCATTAACAAAGACAGATAAAAAAGATATAATCATTCTGACAGGAGATTGGAACGCTAAAATTGGTAATGATAACACAGATTGGAAATCCGTTATTGGAAAATACGGTTATGGTGATAGAAACGAACGCGGAGAACGCCTCCTGGAATTTGCAACACTACACGACTTCTTCATATGTAATACAAGATTTCAACAGAAATCAAATCGAAAATGGACTTGGGCATTACCAGACGGCATTCACAAGAACATGATTGACCTGATTCTCATTCAGCAAAGATGGAAGACCTCGGTCATCAACTGTCGAACATTTCAGAGCGCAGACATAAGTTCAGATCATTCACTAGTATTGTGCAATATCAAGCTGCGACTCGAGAAATTGAATAATAAACCGCAGCAAAGCTGCAGAGTTGATGTGAACCGGCTAAGAGATGAGAAAATCAGACAATCATACAGTGCTACACTAACGAAAAATTTGAAAAATATAGAGCCGACATGTAATCTAGGAGAGCATGCCATAAAAATAGAAGAAGCAATCAAAAAGACAGTAGAGGCAACTGTACCCGCTACGAGAACAACCAAAAAACCGTGGATTTCGGAAGAGACACTAAAACTAGTGGACGAAAAACGTAAATTAAAACAGATGAAAAACGTTTCCATAGAATATGCACAACAATATAAAGACTTTTGTAGAAAAGTCAAGAAATCAGCGAGACAGGACAAAGAGCATTGGATACACGACCAATGCGAGCAAGCTGAAAAGGGTTTAAATATTGGTAATACTAGACAAGCATACGGCCTAATAAAAGTGCTAAGGAAGGAATTTGTACCTAGAATAAATGTGATACGAAATCAAGAGGGCGCAATGTTACAGACAAAGGACCAGATCAAACAAAGATGGACGCAGTATTGTAGCAGTCTGTATAAAGATCCTGGAGGAGGGGATATGATGGTAAAAGAACTTGAAGAGATCGCGCCTCTCCAAAACGAAGATCCTCAAGATATTCTATACTCTGAGGTTCAAGCAGCGATACAGGCACTAAAAAGAAATAAAAGCCCAGGATCAGACGGAATTACGGCTGAGATGCTACAAGCTGGAGGGGAACAGCTAGTGCAACAAATCCATAAGCTCTGTAACAAAGCATGGCATGAAGGTACGATTCCAGAAGAATGGGGCAAATCTATTTTGGTACCAATACCAAAGAAAGGAGATCTCAGTAACTGCTTAAATTACCGAACGATCTCTCTTATAAATCATACAGGAAAAGTACTCCTAATAGTTCTGCTAAATAGACTTAAAAATCATTTAGATCCATACCTCTCAGAAGAGCAGACAGGATTCAGAAAAGACAGAAGTACCATACATCAAATTCTGATGCTCAGATTATTGGCTGAAAAAGCAAAAAGACAGGAAAAGAAAATATACAACTGTTTCATAGACTTTCAAAAAGCATTCGATACGATAAAACACAAAATTATATGGGCTATGCTAAAATCATATGGCGTAGCAACAAAAATGGTCATATTGTTACAGAAAATCTACGAAAAAGCACAGTCAGCTGTTCGAATTGGAAAAGACTATGGCGAGTGGTTTCAGACAGATGTAGGAACTAGACAAGGCGATTCTTTGTCACCACTCCTCTTCATCGCATATCTCGAACGAGTAATGGATCAGGTGAGACAGAACACCTGCGGAATTAACATCGGCGGAATATTTATAAATAATCTGAGTTTCGCTGATGATATTGATCTTATAGATGAAGAAGTTAGCTCACTTCAACGGCAAATTGAGCTAACCAAGGCAGCTGCTGAACAAGCAGAACTTATCCTGAATATAAATAAAACCAAAACCATGGTATTTGGAGACAGGAACATTGAAAGTAGTATCCAAGTAGCAGGAGAGACCATAGACAACGTAGAAAAATTCCAATATCTGGGCAGTCTACTAACATGGGATAACAATTGCTCGGAAGAAATCAAAAGGAGAATAGGAAAAGCGACAGGTGCAATGGTTTCATTGAAACATATATGGAATAGCAAGAAACTGAAGATAGAAAACAAACTTAAAATCCTAACAACATGTGTCTTCAGTGTGCTCCTATACGCATCAGAGACATGGACTCTAAAAGAAGCCGACAGAAAGAAACTATTGGCATTTGAAATGAAATGTTACCGACAGATTCTAAGAATTAATTGGCGAGACAGGATACGAAATGAAGATATCAGAAAAAGGATATCAAAAGAAGAGACGATAATAGACACCATCAAGAAGAGGAAATTAAGACTATTCGGTCACATCTGCAGAATGGACGACAACAGGTTGATCAAACACACAATATTTGCCAAAACAAACGGAAAATCCCGACGAGGACGTCCATGCAGAGAGTGGCTGGACGATATAACAGAGTGGTGTCAACGCAGTGGACAAGAATTGTTTCATCTTGCACAAGACCGACAGGCATGGAGGAATCTGATCTCGTAAATGGTTGGCCCCAACGGGCGCAAAGCCTATGGGACATGATGATGATAATGATGATGTAGTATTATATATAATTGTAGATCATGCTCTTACTTATACAATAGCATATTTAACTAATACTCTTATATTACCGATTATATTTAATAAACTAATTAATATCAATCTTCATAAAATATAGCTAATAATCATAAAGGAGCACCTGCAGATAAATAAACAGTTTAACATTGTGCTTATCATAATTTATACTATATGCAACAAAATAGCACCCTCAGTGAGAGCGATGCCGTCTGTATGTGTTTCCGCCGTCATTTTTTACTTCAAACACCTCCTATATCTCCAATATCTTCTACATCTCCTGTATCTCCTATATCTCCAATACCTCTTCTACCTCCTACATCTGAACATTGGTCAAGTATACTGGAACTTGAATGAATTTCCTGGAAGCCCATAAAAGACATCATATGGATCTCTTTTGAGGAAACTGAATTATGATTTGGAATTAAACTATTTTTTCTAGGGTGATATTGTTCATTTACAATTGATGTCATCGTTTTCTGAAGGCGAACAATTAATGTCGTTTAATAATCTTATAAGAATAAATAATCAACATATAACAAACAAATTGGATTATTTATTAATTTATTTGCTATGGTATTTAATAACAAATAAAGTGTATTTATGGATGAAAGAAGTAAGAGATTCAACGTCATTAATATCAAACTATATTGATATTTTAACAAGGATAAAACAATTAATTGCTATATTAATAATAAAGAACATGTTGGATATGTCTTCGAAAATTTGTTGTTAAAAAACTCAGCTTTAGAAATCAAAATATTTCAATCAAGCAACAAGCTATTCATTTTTAGTGAAGTGAGTATTACAGAATACATTTTATATTCTTTCCACTAATCTTCTCATAAACTTTATTTTATCTCTTTCTAGACTGAAAAAAAAGATTTTACTTCAACAATTGATATTGATATTGAAAATTATATACAAGAACATGATAGACATGATGGACATGACGGTAAATTTAGGTAAAATAATTTTGTTTTTTTTCAACAACAATTAATTTTATTCATTATAGTTTGAAAAATTTACCAGATCTTAAACAAGAATTAAAACGAAAAATGCTACTGTTACAGTGTGTTCTTCTATAACATCTACCTCGATCCTATCTATTCTCTTTTCTTTGTTATTTTGGTTTCTTTTAGTTCTTTCCATTGCACTTTATTGACCTCTGTATTCTTCTATATTTTGTCCTTAATTTTCATGTGCGTATATAAACACTTGTTTTGTAAGAGAATAAATAGAGAGAATAAATCACACACACACACGTTAACTGCGTTCGTCGCTCTTCGTGAGCGCGAACGCACGCTAACAGCTACGTTTATTTGATTTTATTAATAAACATCAAGATGATCAAGCCAACAATCAACAAGTAAAAATTATCAATGAACAATGTATTAAAGTTCATCATAAAGAATTTAGTGAAACTTACATGATGAAGAACCTGTTGAAGTAAAGACACCTATATTTATCAACAATGATTGAACATTAACTTTTGTTCGTTCTTTTTATTCAAAATTTTTTTTTTCATCATAATAAAAACACGAAGCGATAAATAGCATTTTTAATATAGATTGACAGAAAATATCTTCCAATTACTCAACTGTATTTACAATAATAAATATAACAAGAAAAATAATATTATTTTAACGGGTGTCCCAGAAAGAATGAACCTCTCAGTATTTTGATGATATCCTTCTTAATATTCGTCTGTTCAGATACTATTTTTTTATCAAAAGATTCATCTTTTAATTCTCTATAAAATAATATATTTTTTATCAATTTAAATATGATCCATTGTTTTACAAGATATGGTTCAAAAAACAGTGCAAGAAAAAGTGTTTTCTAACACAAATTTTTGTCGAATTTCTCACACTGCATGTTTTAGTCGTCTAATAAGAGTTTCTTTCGATATTACTTTTTTCCAATTGATAGAATAAGGGAAGTCGTCTCATTCTGAATAGTTCATTATATCTAAATCTAGAATATATTATGGCAAATGTTACTTGTCTGGGATAGAGAAAAAATTGTTCTTGTATCACTATTGTGTTAACTGATGGATGTCAGATCAGGTTTTGGATCGTTTTGCTGACATATTCAATCTTTTCTGAAGTCCGTATTTCCATAAATTAGTGCTACCAGAAGAACATCCTCTCTTCACATTGAGCACGATCAGATGCTCGTATCTGAAAATGATAACCTTCCTCCAGGTAGATCTGACATTCTGGTAGAACGATGCAAAACCTGATCTGACATCCATCAATTAACACAATAGTGATGTAAGAACAATTTTTTCTCTATCCCAGACAAGTAACAATTACCATAATATATTCTAGATTTAGATATAATGACAAGGGGGGAAAAGCGGATTCTCTGTATCCTGGATACGGGGAAGATACCGAGGATACCATAAAGATATGGATACGGATGTGAATTTATTGTTATTGTTATAAATAACAATAACTTTTTTGTTATCTGTTATAAGTAACAGATCAATAACAAATAACTTTTTATTTCGAACAAAATTTTCCACTCGAATCGCTGTCTATTTCAACTATACCGATTCTATTGGTCTATGCTTAAGGAATGAATTTGCTACTGTTATGTAGGTATGCACCAATACCAGTTAAGAACTGGGGACTCGGTACCCAGTGGCACTGGGTATATATTTAACTGATCTATGCTTTATTAAATCATGAGACACCTCCCTGAGTCTTTCTGTTGGATCAAAACTTTGAAAACTCATTTTTCATTTTTTTGTGGCTGGGGTCCCGTCCAGGAATCAAAAAAAAGTTTTTGTCTTTAATTCCTTTTTCTCATATACATTTCGATAGAGCTCGGTGCGCTGATAACGAATATCACATTTTTATTAAGATTTGATCGAGTAATAAGAAAACTACCAAGGACTTTCTCTATCTAGATGGCACAGGCTCTTCATCAGAAAATAATGTTTTTTAACCCTAGATGCCAGTCAAAAGTCCTCTTTGAAGTTTTTAAATGACATCAATATAACCTAATTTTTTTGTCCTCTATCTAAATCTGAAAGAACTTTTTAAGAATATTAGTTTCATTCTTTCGATAATAGCCACTTCCGGGGCCCGTTGTTATGATATATACTAGGATTTATTAAAAATTCATATAGCACAGTTTCGTAATAGATCTTTCATCAACTTCGAAACTTCCACTGTATATACATTTTGCCTACTCTTTCTAATGCACCTATTTGAAAGAGCAAAATAGGTAAACTAGGTATCCTACCACCACCCACAATGCATATTCAGTGGTCACAAAGTCATAAATACAAGAGTTCATCAAAAAGTTCGTACAGCACAGTTTTATAATACACCCTTCATCCGCTTTGAAATTTTTACTGTATTAACAATTTAATCTGCTCTTTCTGATGGAGTGTTTTAAAAAGTAAAAAAAATCTGAACTAGGTATTCTAGCATCATCCAAAACCCATATACATGGATGAAAAATCTATGGAAATCGTTTCAAGAGGCTGTTTTGCCTGTTCTTTGACACAAATGTCATTCCTAATCGTTTCATAGTATTTTTTTAAGTGCATACTTTTGTTTATGTGTTCGAAGAAACCTAGATTTCAAGTCTATGACAGAAGTGTAGCTTGTCAGATAAAGAGCGTCAAATAGAGGATTGCGGATAGGAGTCTCGTCAGTAGAGATCGCTGGGTAGAACTCGAACCTGGTCGGGTCCGGATCTGAAATTTTTTTATTCATCGGGTCCGGGTACAAAGTTTTACACTAATCAGATCCGATGTTGGATTCAGATTCGAAAAACTTGCACCCAAAGACTCTGACATGGACAATCGAAGTTATGCCAGTCGCCGAATACGAATAACCTGAGGAATAACGTCAACACTGAAAGAAAAAAAGGTACCGTACCGAACTTAAAAATGTTTCGAATTTTGAAACGAATTCTAAACCTTTTTAAGTTTCGTACGAAACTGGTTCGGTATGAAACTTGTTTGAAAAACCATAAAAATGGCTTCGCACATACAGTTCTGCAGCACCACTATCATGGAACCCAGTCCCTCAAGTTATGACACTATGGTTGCATGAGTCTCATCACGAACGCTTCCATAGTATCCCATATTCAATCTAATCCCCAACCGTCCTGCTCAGCTTCAGGTAAGAAGATCCTAGGAAATCAGATGAGAGACTCAAAACG